GATATCCCTTGTTCCACATCCTCTTCTGAATCTGGCTTGAACCTCTGGAAGTTCTCTGTCAATATACTGCTGCAAACGTTTCTGAATTATCTTCAGTCAGATCTTACTTGCATGTGATATTAATGATATTGTTCTATAATTTCCACATTCTGTGGGATCACCTTTCTTTGGAATGGGCACAAATATGGAATTGAAACGTATCCCCCCAAAATATGTCAATTTGGCTGGGCCATGACTCCCAGTGGTTTAGCAGTGATGTGAGGATGTAATCATCCCTATGTTATGATCTGATGATCAGTCAATCAATTATAAGAGGATTAGGGTGGGATGCAAGGAGGTAAAGGGATTTTCCCTGGGGTGTGGCCTGAATCACCTTTTATCTTACAAGAGATAAAAAGAGATAGAAGTGAGCAGAGGAGGGACCTTACCACCACTAAGAAAGAAGAGCCAGGAGTGAAGCATGTTTTCTGGACCCACAGTCCTTTCATTGAATGTCTTCTAGATACAAGGGAAGAGTGATGTCAAGACACATGGAGTTCTCCAAGTAACACTGGCCCACAGATGTTGAAAGGAAAACAAGGATTTTGCTCCAGAGCAGACAGAGAGAGAAAACTTTCCCTAGAGTTGGCACCCTGAATTCAGACTTAAAGCCTCCTACACTGTAAAAAAATACATTTCTGTTTGTTAAATCCAGCCACTTGTGATATTCTGTTACAGCAGCACTAGAGAACTAAGATAATGGCAAAGAAAAAGAAGAAGGAAACGGACCCTGAATAGATCAGAATGCTCAAAAGTCATTTTTTGAGGCTCTGGTTGTTACAAGATGCCTACTACCTGTTCGTAACTCATATTAATTTTAATATTATTTACTTAGCTTCTCACTGCCATCGATTCCAACTCATAATGACTCCCTTTTGGGTTTTCGAGGCACTAAATCTTTGTGGAAGCAGATTGCCCAGTCTTCCTTCTGCAGAGTGGCTGGTGGGTTTGAACTGCCAACCTTCTGGTTAGCAGTCAAATGCCTCAGGCACTATGCTACCAGAGCTCCTTATTGGTAACTAAGCTAAGTAAATAATATTAAAATTAATATTAAGTAAAGTTAATAATATTAGCAGCTAATATCTACTAAGAATTTATTGCCTGCTGGGCATTTTTAGTTACATGGATTATCTCATTCGATCTAAATAATAACTTTATGAGGTAGGTGCTATAATTTCCTGTTCTACAGATTAAGAAAATGAGGTTGAAAGAGGATAAATAACTTAACCAATGTCACCTTGTAGTAAAAAGTACAGCTGAGATATCAGCTTGGAGGTCTGACTCCATGGCCTATGTGATCAACCATGATGAGGAGCTAGGAGAAGAGTAGTCATCTCTCCACCATCTGCAAGAAGATTATTCTTTTCTGGGGATAAGCCTCTGAGGGCAGAGCCTCTGTGTACAGCTCTTCAGGCTGTGCACTGATTAAGAGTGCCACACCTAAGGGGGTGTCATACATATTATAGGTATATTCTAACTTATATGAGAGGCTGGGGGTGGGTACAAAAATCTTGAGCTCCTGACTATATGCTGGGATAGCAGCACACATAGCGGCACACACATTCACTAATGTATGCATGTACAAGACTTCCATGTCTCAATCACACTCCAAATGTGGAGATGTTTCTCTTTCTGTCCTGTTACTTTCAGTGACCCAATTCCTACTCCCATTGGGGTCATGGAGAATACACATTACCACTTGTTTCAAGTTGTGCAGCATTATACCAATTATTTTTTTTCCTTAAGGAAGAGGTGCCCTTTCTAATTAGCCCAACTATGCCTTATTGTCTATCTGGGGTCCTTAATAGGGAAGGGTCTTTAATACAGTCTGCAGCACCCCTGACCCCTTGAGCCCCTTAGTTGTTCAGTGCTTGGATTGTGCCTGCCATTTTAATGCCAGCTTAAAACCAATAGAGGTGGGAAGATCAGATCTGTTATAAGGAAAACCTCACCTATAAAATATTCTCCAAAAGGAAATACTGGGTGTTTTTTAAGTGTGTCATCTGGATATGCCACACTTGCTAATGTTCTCCTTCCATGAAGATCATTGCTTTATGGTATTATGCTTTGTCCAAGGAAGGAATTAAAGTTTTCCAGACTCTGTAGCTAAACTGGAGCCAGTGACCCACATGACCTAAACTGCCTCTCCATAGGAGCTAGAGGGGCCAGGCCAGCTAGAGTGCCCCATTCATTCCTCAGCCAGACAGCAGGGGAATTCCTTTCCTGAATTTTGAAGTTTCCCTTCTCTCCTGCCTAAGTGGTTTCATCACTTGTCTGGGAGACGCCTTAATGGGCTGATGAAGCTGGGACATCCCAAAAAGTCTTGGAGTGAGGGGGAAATGGGAGGAGGAGGAACATGGATCAGTGTGTTCCCTTGAAACCAGTGGAAAAGTTCTGCTGGAATAAGTGACAGTAAGAACAACAAGAACTCCCTGTTATAGGTCACAGAAACAAAAGCCCCAAGAGAAGTGACTTGTTGAAAGTTGCGGAGAGGTGAGTAGCAGAGCTGTGCCTTGCATTTGGATCTTCTAGTGCCAAGTACAGCTTCTTCCCAACACATCACAATGCCTCCTCCATCTCAAGGTTTAAAGAAGACATCTAAACACAAGCAACTCAAAGAGATTGAAAGAAAAGTCAAAGGAGATCTCGTTTCTGGATCAAGATGCATGGAGAAGGCTCAACCAAGCCCAGAGCACAGAAGGTGAGATTAAGTGTTCTCTACAAGGTTGGGATCCTCTCTCTGAATATGGGTGGTGAGTTGCAGCAGTATCGGTCAAGTATGCACCCAGATTCTTTTATCAGAGCAGGCTGAGCTCATCCCAGGAGGCCAGGTAAGGATTCTGGAGTTCAGGCCACAGTCTTCCCTCTGCCTCCCTACTCTTCTACTACCCCCACCCTCCCTCCCACAAAAGTGCATGTTTCCTTAAAGGACTTTGGGTAACTTGGAACAAATAAATGCTAGAAAAATGAAGGAGCTTTGAGATTATATAGTCAAGATTTTTTTTTTTTTTTTTTTAATAGTGAAGAGGAAAGGAGTACACTGCCCAAGGTCACTCATTTGGTCAGCACAAGCAAAGCAGAACCTCCTGAGTCTTGGTTCTGTGCTTTTGTCTCTATACCACACTGTCCCTTCCCTTGCCTGCTGCTCAGTGGACCTCCAAAGGGCAGTAGGGATTTGAGGAGTCTTACACCAGCCTATAATGAACAGGTGGCAGATCCCTTTCCAGCAAGACTAGAGGACCAAAAGAGTCCATGGTGTGCCTCTCACCCCCTGTAATTCTGTGCACTGTCACAGAGGCGGGTGGGTCCAGGTTGCTCAGTTGGAGCTCCCAGTCTTCTTGGAAAAGGTTATCTGAAGGCCACTGGCAAGGAAAGGATTGGGAGAAATTCAGTTGAGTGTTATCCTTCCAGCCTCCAATCAAGCCTGATAACCCTCTGAAGACTTTTTTTATCTCACACGCTGAGCTTCCTTATTGCCCTACTGAGGCAGTGTTTTCTCATGAAGCTGAGACTGCTACACTATTTGACTTCAGAGGAATAGGGTGGTGTGGTGGCCATACTTTGGCCCCAACATGTGCTGTGTTGGCACTTGTTGATGCAGAAAAATTAGACTAGATGGAAGCTGAGTGCCAGCCCCAGCATTAGCCTGGACTTGGCAAATATGAATCAAACAAAGGGTTGGGTGTAGGCACTCCCTGGGACAGCTTCCAGGTGAGGGCAGCAAGCCAGACACTCCAGTAGGCAGGAAGTGTTCTGAGGAAGCTGGCAGTGCCAAGGCAGGGGGTTTGCTAAGGGAAGGCACAGAAGGAGGTGTGAAGAGCCTGTGAAGTTTTCCAAATCTGACCATTTGGGCTCTAACTGGAAAGACCAGTCAAAGGCCCTATGGAGATGGATGAAGTAGAGGTGGACAACTTGAACTGTTGGGCCAACCCATGGATTCTTAACTTTTCTGTCATTCCCTTGTCTCTCTTCCCTTACCCTTTTTTTTTTACCTCCCCCTCTACATTTTCTCTCCTCTTTTCCCTACTTCCTTTTCCATTTTTACCCCCATTTCCTGTTTCCCTTTTTTTGGTTCCCATCCCTACAGCTATGTTCCAGACTGACAAGTGTCCCTATGTGCCTTAGTCAAGTTGAGGAATGAAAAGTGTCTTGCCTTGGGTCAAATCATTGACTGTCAGCACCTGTTCTTAATTTTTTTTTTTTTTTTAAGTTATCATTGAGTCAACTCCAATTCATGGTGACTTCATATATGAAAGAATTGTTGTTGTCATGTGCCGTCGATTTGGACCCGACTCATAGTGACCCCTTCTGGATTTCTGAGGCCGTATCACTATGGAAGTAGTGATACTCCTTCCAAGGAGTGGCTTGTGGGTTTGAATTGCCAGCCTTCTGGTTGGCAATCAAGTGCCTTAGGCATTACACTACCAGAGAACTGTGTGGCTGATATTTTCAGAGGTAGATTGCTATGCTTTTCTTCTGAGGCACCTCTGGGTATAGTTGAATCATAAAACTTTTGGTTAGTATCTGAGGACATCAATCCTTTCCATCACTCCATTTTTTAATATTAGCAAAGTATGTACTGAAGTAAGAAGGAGATATAATGGCTAAATGGTTAAATTTAGTTTTCTTCTTTTTATTTTTTTTCTCTTAATCTCTAGGTTCCAGCAACTGTAAGCAATAGATTGATTCAAAGAGTAGGTTTTTAATAAAAGAGTATCTATGAATATCCTCAGGAGCTCTGGTAGCATAATGTCGAAGGCCCGTTTCTGCTAATCAGAAGGTTGGCAGTTCAAACCCACCAGCCAATCCTCGGAAGGAAGATGGGGCAATCTAGTTCTGTAGTGATACTGCCTCGGAAACCCAAGGAGGGGTCGCTATGAGTCAGGTCCGACTCGACGGCACATAGCAACAGCAACATGGATATCCTCTGGGGAGTACAAAAGAAGTATAATGTATAACCTCTGTCATTTTAATCAGTAATAAAAGAACCATTTTGTACTGGTCAATATGGTATCCACTAGAGAGTGGTGGATTTTGCAATAGCTTGTTTGCAATAGCTGTGCATTGTCACCTGCCATATGCTAGACTTTGTGTCAGAACCTGGGGTCGAGATGAATGAGACAAACTGCTTCTTCCTTCAAGGTGCTCCCTAGGCCATTGGGAGACAACAGAGGAAGGAAAAGATCAGTATAGACTTGGGGCAGGGCTTCCTGGATATTGTGAGAAAGAAATAGACTAGGACCTGGGACAGACCCAATGCAGAAAACTACTTGGCCAGAGTGTGAATGTTTAACTCCTAATTGCTGCCTGGAGGATCAGAAACAGTGAAACAGAAAGTTTCCCTTGAAAGAATCAATTTCTCTTCTGCAAAGAGGAAGAGACAAGGAGAGAAGGGAACAGGAACTGCTCTCTATCAGGCTCGCTGTTGGGCACTTTTAACAGCTTCCTCATTTAAATTGTACAACCACCACCCTGTAAAAATGTTCTCATCCCATATCCTACAGATGAGGAAATGAACCTCCAAGGCTGGGTAACTTTTCCAAGTTCCTGCACTTTCAACTGATGCCTGAACTTCTAAACATGTGGCTTTTCCATGCCACAATGCTCTCCCCCACTTTCAGAGCTCCATGCTGGCAAGTGGGAGCTGGGCTGGAATCCCACAGAGAGAATTTCACCAATTCTGCACACAGAAACCTCAAGGGTAGGGGAAATTTTAGCCTTGGTGTAAGAGACTGAGGCCAAATAGGCATATTTGGAAGTATGAGGATGGAGTCAAAGTTCTCTCAGAGAGAGTGATTCTTGTCTTGCTTTTATTGTTGTTGTTTGTTGCCATCAAGTTGATTCTGATTCATGGTGACTTCATGTATGCAAAGGATTTTCATAGGGTTTTCAAGGCCAGGAGATTTCAAAAACAGATTGCTGGGTCTGGCACCTGAGGTGTCTTTGGGTAGGTTGGAACAGCCAACCTTTTGGCTAATAATCAAGCACTTAACTGTGCTACCCAGGGACTACTTTGTCTTACTCTTAGATGTAATCAATACAGACCCCACTCTACTGATGGGTAAACTAAGATCCCAACACCAGAAGGTGCTGCCCTGGGCCCCATTGATGCTCCTTTTGAACTTCCTTTCACTTAGTGTCTTTTGCAGGTCACCAACCAGAGGGCAGGATGGAAAATGCCCCTTTTCCTCACCCTATGCCTGCTGCAAGGTGAGTCCCAAACACAGCCTCCTTTCAGAGCTTGCAGAACTATGCAAACCCAGACCTAAGTCTTCTAGGCCTTAGAAACTCCTGACCAGCACCTCAGAGGCACCCAGCACTCCCTTGTCAACGTGGGAATATCCATGTCTCTCTCTCTTGGGATCCAGAGCCAGATAATGGATCCTGGAAGTGGTCAGATTTGGCCCAGAGGAAATGAGGGGGGCAAGAGTTCATATGACAGGACATGTGCCTGACTTGATGATTTCCAGAATATTCATGTTTCCATGTTGCCAATTTTCTGCTCTCTCTCATTTAAGTAATGCCTGAAATTTGGCTGTGTTTTCAAGATAAGGATCCCAGGACATACAAAAGATAGAAACAGCTGGGATTCATTGCTACTTATTATACAAACACTTAAATGTCAGGTTCATAAAGATGAAAACCCTACCCAACTCTTAAAGAGTTTAGAGTCTACAAAGAAACTAGATAGGTAAACAAAAATTCTATTCACTTATTAATTCAACACACATTTGTTGAGGGCCTACTATATGCCAGGAACTGGGAGCAGGAAGATGAAAGACAGAATCCCTGCCTTAAATGTCCTTACATTCTGGTGTGGTGATCTTGGTCAAGCTCAGGTGGCAAGTGGTCCAATCTCCACACTGTGATGTCTGGATTTTATTCTCATGATGATATGGAGCCATAGAATAATACAGTGAGCTCAGTAGCTAGAGGTCACTGGGTGACATAAGCAGTTTGCAATCACCTGCTAATTGTCTTACTTAACCAGTGCTACTATAGCAGAAATACCACAAGTGAATGGCTTTAACAAACAAATTTGTTCTCTCACAGTTTGGGAGGCAAAAAGTCAAATTCAGGGTGCTGGCCCCAGGTGAAGACTTTCTCTATCAGCTCTAGGGAAAATTTCTTGTCATCAATCTTCCCCTAAGTCTAGGAGTTTCTCAGCACAAGGACCCCAAGTCTAAAAGATGCACTTTGCTCCTGGCTCTCCTTTCTTGGTAGTAGGAGGGCCCTCTGATCTCTGTTTGTTTTTGTAATCCCTTTTATTTTATATTACAAAAAAATTGACTCAAAATATGACCTAATTCTGTAGATTGCATCCTGCCTTATTAACAAACTTACCACTAATCCTGCCTCGTTAACATAATAGAGGTGAGGATTTACAACACATAGGATAATGACATCAGATCACAGAATGGAAGATAATTACATAATACTCACAAAATGGAGAATAATTTTGTAATAATGAGAATCATGACCTGGCCTACCTGACACATATTTTGGGGGGACACAATGCAATCTGTAATGATAAAAAAACAGAATTTGGTACCAGAAGAGTGAAATGTTGCTCTAACAGATACCTAAAATGTGAATGCAATTTTAGAATTGAGTGATGGATGAAGGCTGGAAGAATTTTAAGGTGTCAAATAGTAAAAGCCTAAGGAGCTCTGCTCCATAGTGGATAAGACATTTGGCTGCTAACCATAAGATCAGAAGTTTAAACCCATCAGCCACTCCATGGAAGGAAGATTGGGCAATCTACTTCCGTAAAGATTTACAGCCTCAGAAACCCCGTGGGGGTTGCTATGAGTCAGAATTGATTCAATGGTAGTGAGGTGTTTTGTTTTTTTTTTTAAGAATTTATATAACCAATTACCACAGCAGAAAACCCATCAGCTTAGACTGAAGGGGAGAGAGAAAGAATGAAACCCTGTCTATCGCTTGGAATTCTATAGGCGGTAAACAGGCCAAAGGAGCTACATCTATTGTCTCCACAAAAAGGAAAAAAATCACCTCTGGAGGAGATTGGAAGTCAGCAGAACTGTTGGAAGGAGATGGGACATAGGACCTTCTTTGTTTCAAAGAGTGAAGTCATGGCCTCCTAGGTTTAAAAGAGTCAGATCTTCACTAACTCAGTTCTGGAGTGTGAGCCGCTGTTCACAAGTGCCAGGGGGATGGGGCTCACTGTCAAAGTTGGGAAGTTGGGTCTACCATGCAGGAGGGGCAGAAGAACAGAGCCTGTGTGAGGCAAGGTGGTAGAGTCACCACTCAGATGGACTAGGAGAATAGGGCAGCCCAAAGCCAAGGAAGCAGAGATGGGGGAAGACTTATGCCAAGCAACATGGGAATCTCCAAGGGACTAGGAAGCTGAAGATACAAGGTCCTTCTCTCAGGTCTGAGAGAGATAGAAAGTCTTCCCCTAGAGCTGGTGCCCTGAATTCAGACTTCTAGCTTCCTAAACTGTGAGAAAATAAATTTCTGTTTGTTAAAGCCAGCCACATCTAGTATTTCTGCTGTAGCAGCACCAGATAACTAAGACAGAATCTAACCTAAAAGTTGGCAGTTCAAACCCAACCAGAGGCACAGCAGAAGAAATGCCTGGTGATCACTTCCATAAGGATTACAGCCAAGAAAACCCTATGAGGCAATTCTACTCCATAACACCCATGAGTTGGAATTGATTCTATGACACAGGTTTCAGTGCCTACAGTGTCCACTATCCAGAAACTAGTCCCAACTAGATGCTTAATAAATAATGAATGAGTTGACTAATGAATTAAAATGTTATGATAATGCAAAAAAAGATTAGCATCTACTATGTCTGACTTATAAACAAATTATATTAAAAAAAAGAAATTTGAGTTTCAATAAATCCAAGGTAATCAATATTTGAGCAAGCACTCTGCAGTTTAATTTAATGTTAATTTTACTTTCTCATTGCCCTCTTTACAAAAAGGCAGGTTTCCTGTGGTCCTGAGTGAAAATTTAGGGAGGTTCATGACTTTTATGTTAATTTATAGGTCTCTGGGTGGTGCAGATGGTTTGTTCTCAGCTGCTAAACTAAAGGTTGGTGGTTTGACCTCACCCTGCAGCAGCACTGCAGAGGAAAGGCTGGATGATTTGCTTCCTTAAAAGTTATAACCAAGGAAACCCCATGGATCTCAGCTCTACTCTGTAACACGTGGGTTCATCATGAGTTAGAATCAACTTGACAGCAACTTTTTCTTTCTTTTCCTTTTTTTTTTTTTTTTTTTTAAACATAGGTAATAGTCCTAACAGTCACTTTAGATCTCCAATGTTTTAATTTAATAATGTTAAGTCTCCAGGTAAATATTTGGGTCAGCACTTTAATCTTCATTCAAAAACATTCCCCCCCCCAGCCCCATGCAGTCCAGGAAGGAGGGAAGTATTGCCTTCTCCTTTTGTCTCCTCCCCCTCTTCCCCATCTCAGCAGCTGCAGATGATGATTTGGACCTTAGCAAGGTCACAGCAGCCTAAGGGAGGGGAGATAGAAAGCTAGGCCAGCTCTTACTTGATCAGAGGGCCTGGAGCTCTCTAGCCTGGTAGGATGTTAAAGTTGGCTCTTTAGCACTTCCTCCTGTGAATGCCTTTCTTCTTTGGCCCCTCCACACAACAGGATTGCCTAAGTACTCTTACATCCCACCTCAGATGACTGCAGACTGCCTCTGTCCCTTCTGGAACCCACCTCTGGGCTATGATAGTACTCTTCCTCGCCCTTCTGCTAGTAAGACTTTCCCTCTGTCCTGCTTCAGACATCTTGGCTTTCTTAGTCATGAGTCACACTCTAGTATGAGGCTTTCCTCTAACTGCAGACATCACTCACTATGCTCTCAAGTGGGCCAGTGACCCTTTATCTGGCTTGAGATGAGCGAACGGGGACTCCTGTTGGCCAGTAACTCTACTTCCTTACTAATAGAAACCACAGATGATGGCTGGGTGATGATGGCTGAGTGATAGACATAGATAGCTGCTGTCTATTTGACTCCAACTAATGGCACCCTATGTACAACAGTATAAAACATTGCCTGGTCCTGTGTTAGCCTCATAATCATCTGCATGTTTGATTTTATTTTATTACTGTGCTATTGTGCCAACCCATCTCACTGAGGATCTCCTTCACCCTCACTGGCCCTCTACTTCATCAAGCATGATGTCCTACTTCAGTAATTGATCCATCCTGATGATGTGTCCAAGGTGCTTTGGCCATGCAGTGGTTAAAGCACTTGGCTGCTAACCAGAAGAGTGGCTGTCTGCTTCAGTAAATATTACAGCCTTAGAAACCCTATGGGGCAGTTCTGTTTTGTCCTATAGGTAACTATGAGCCAGAATCTACTCCATGGCAGTGGGTGGTGGGATGATGTGTCCAAAGTAAGGGAGTAGGATAATATTCTGTTGTGATCCATAGGGTTTTCACTGGCTAACTTTTGGAAGTAGATCACCAGTCCTTTCTTCCTAGTCTGTCTTGATCCAAAAGCTCCACCAAAACCTGTCCACTATGGATGACCCAGCTGGTATTTGAAGTACTAGTGGCATAGTGTCTAGCATTATAACAATGTGTACACCACCACAATACAACAAACTGACACAATACAACCATGACCACATGGGTGGTTGGGCACATGATAGCTACTTTTTTTTTTTTTTTTTTAATAGCAAGTAAATGATTAGAACATGATTGTCTCTCAGATGGAGCCCTGCTTCAATGACTAAGTTCTATTATTCCATATTGATTCTGCTTAGCTTCAGTGGCATTTTCTGAGCTGTTCCTAATTCTGGAAGAGTTTGGGGCTTGCAGCTCCCCAAACCATGACTGCATTCAGCACTCCCTCTCCTTGGACTTTTTCTCTACCTACAGCTGCAAATGCTTTGAAGGGCCCACGGCTGGTATCTGGGGAGCCTGGTGGAGCTGTTACCATCAAATGCCATTATGCCTCTACTTCTGTCAACAAGTATCAGAGGAAGTACTGGTGCCGCTTGGGTCCCCCAGAGTGGATCTGCCACACCATTGTATCCACCAACCACTACACTAACCATCGCTACCGTGGTCGTGTGGCTCTAGAAGACTTCCCACAGAGCAGCTTGTTTGTGGTGAGACTGTTTCAACTGTCCCTGACTGATGAGGGGTATTACCGCTGCGGCATTGGAAAAAGAAATGACATGCTTTTCTTCAGTATGAATCTGACTGTCTCTGCAGGTAGGAGCTGATGGCTGGTGGACAAGCTTGGTGAAGTTAGTAAGTGCTAGGAAAGAGAAGGTAGAAGAGGAGACTCAGACCCAAGAGAACTTTCAACACTAGGGAGTGATAATGAACAGCTGAGGGTAAGGCAAGGACTTTCAGAACCAGACCTTCATTTTAAAAGTACTATGGTCTGACTCAACAGCACATAACAACAACAACAACATGCGAAGTGCCTAGGAGCTCTGGTAGCATAGTGCCTAAGGCATTTGACCGTTAACCAGGAGGCTGGAGGTTCAAACCAGCCACTCCTCGGAAGGAAGGTTGGGCAATCTACTTCCATAGTGATACTGCCTGGGAAACCCAAGGAGGGGTCGCTATGAGTGGGATCCAACTTGACAGCAGTGCATTTGGTTTGGTTTGGTATCAAGTAGGTATGAAGCCCTGGTGGTGCAGTTGGTTAAGCACATGGTTGGAAATTGAAAGGTAAGTGGTTTGACCCCACCAGTCACTCTGGAGAAAGATATGGCAATCTGCTTCTGTAAATATTTATAGGCTTGGAAACCCTATGGGGCAATTCTACTCTGCCACATAGGGTCGTTTTGGGTCAGAATTGACTCGACAGCAATGAGTTGTGCAAACAGTTAATACACTCAGCAGTTAACCAAAAGGTTGGAGGTTCAAGTCCACCCAGAAGCACCTTGGAAGAAAGATCTGGTGATCTACTTCCAAAAAATCAGCTATTGGAAACCTGATGGAGCACAGTTCTATTCTGACACACATTGGGCTACAATTAGTTGGAGGTGACTATTCAACAACTGATTTGAGTTTTTGCTTTTTTAAAAAATCAGATAGATAGTAGGAAAAGCTTCCCAATGAAATAATCATATGCATTCAGTTTCCTCCTGAACATTGTGGAATACATATTTGGAAATAGCCCTGTGAAGGCAATGAATTGGATAATGTAGTCTCTTGTGGTCATGATATCTCAGGGGTCAGATGTGCAGAGGAAGGACTACTGAAGAGCAGGCAAGACAGGCAGGACAGCTAAAGTGCAGGGACAGAGGAACTGGCTCTTCCTATAGCAGACCCTGGCTGAGCCCTTCAGCAGGCATCTGGCAGCTGCCAGTCTATTCCCCTCTGTGTCAGGTTCCAGAAAGCTGATACAGAACCACCTATCCAGAGAATGAAGGAAAGGCATCCAAGCTGTGAAAGGTCACTCTCCAGAAGAGATGGCATGTCAGAAAGCAGCCAGCCACTTACACCCAAGCAGAGATTTGTTTTATTAGCTGCTGCTTTCCAACCATATGCTGAGATCGACTGCTCTGCTGGAATTAGAGTTTTTCTTTTATTCTTTTTTGAATAGCTGTACATGATGGGCTGTGGGCCTCTGAGGGAAAGGCAGCATGGGGTTCTGGATAGCTGGGTGGAGAGAGGTAGACATGAGAGAGAAGATAGGAACATAAAATGTCAATATTTACAACAGAACAGAGAACGCATCTGGGTTTTCCAAATTTTTATTTTATCCAACATTTTGACCAAAGGCTGCATCTCTTAGTAGATTGAATTTCATTTAACAAATATTTTAAACCTGGAGTCCTTTGCTAAGCCCAGAAGGTGGCCTGGAGAGCCTTCCCTTGTGGTCTCTCTGTGCTCTTCCTACAGGTCCTTTCAGCATCATTAGTGCAGCTGCTAGCAAGCTCACCACAAGATCCTTGGCAACAGCATCTCCAGTGGCCAATAGATGGACCCCAGGAACCACCCAAACCACAGAAGAGCAGGGGGCAGGATGGGACAAAATTATTCCAACTCCAGGAACCCGCAAAACAATAGCTTCAGCTAAGGGAAGACAACCCTTAGGAATAACCAGGTCAGTAGCTCCAGGGATAGGCAGCTGGGCAGAAGTTTCCATTAGAGCAACAGTTCCCAGCCCAGAGAGTAGGGCTTCAAAACTTACAGTCATATCAAATATAGTAGAAGACGTTTTGGTGTGGAGCACCAGAAGCTCAGTAGCAAACAGGGCTAGGGTAAGTGATGACGGGAGGAAGGTGACCACTTCCAAGGTTGATGGACCCACAGAGGAAACAAGGAGGGTCATGATAGCCCCAGATGCAACCTGGGAGGTCAGAGGAACCATCAGGCCATCAACCCTGACCTCAGAAAAATGGGCCTGGGAAAATCTCCAAGATGCAGCATCAATTTCTAAGCAACCAGCTCCGGGTTCCAATGAAGAAACAACCCGAGGTGCAGGTGTGTGGACTTTGGGAACTACCAGCATAGAGATGGCAACTGTGGAGGGAAGCACTAAAGGACAACTGGTGTCTACTGCTGGAGACAGTGGTCCCCAAGCAGTGCCGAGCAAGGTGGTAGCAGCAGGGCCCCTGAGACCTCGTGGCAAGGGGTCCTCCATGAAGAGGTAAGAACCCAGGCCTCTCTCCTTTGTTGGGACTCCAGCTCTACCTCACCTCCTGCATGCCCCTTGGTGAGCTGACTTCTGTACCCCTCTCCCTCCACTCAGTCTTCTCTCATACCCATAAGACAGATAAGGGCCAGGGTGTAAACATCAGATATGCTCCCCTAACTGAAAGATTCCTGTTGTGAAAATGGTACCTGTTTATTTTCATGTAGTTTTCCAGCAAAATCTAGTGATAGACTGACAGAATATTCTAGAATGACAGAATATTCAGGCTGGAAACTTAGACACGTAAAAAAATAAATAAATAAAAAATAAAAGATGAAAACAGGAGATTCCAGAGAGGGGAAGTGACTTGCTAAAGCCACAAGGAAAGATTGAGCTAGAGCCAAGTCCAAGCCTGGATTTTCTGATTCTCATTCAGGCCTCCTTCCTGTTAAGGCATAAAGTGAAGCCCATATGTAGATGGATGGAGTAGGATAAAGGATTCAGGATTTGGGAACTTGCAGACAGGATTCTAGTCCCTGCTCTGCTACAAACCAGAGAAGAAGCGAAGGCAGCTAACTTCCCTACACCTCTAAAATGCAGAGCTTTGGCCAAGTGATCTTTAATTTTCTCCCCAACCCCAACCTCCCCTGTCCTGTGCTCTCTCCTGCTCCTTCTACTTTAGTTCTTTTCCAGAAAAAAAAAGTGTCTCCTGGATCCTGACTCCAGTCTCCACAGTGCTGCCCTTGGTTATACTTCTAGCTCTTGTTGTATTGGAAAGGAAGCTCTGGAGAAAGAACTGTGAGTTTAAGTATCCCCAAGCCTGGGAAGGAAAGTGCTTGTCTCTACATGACACCCCCAGGGCTGGGTGGAGTCACAGGATGCCAAGTCTTTTGGACATAAGTTGATTTTCAATTCATAGCAATTTCATGTGACTAAGTGGAACTGTCCCATAGGATTTTCTAGGCTGTAAACTTTTTAGGGAGTCCTTGGGGAGGGCTAACAGATAAGCACTCATCTACTAGCTGAAAGGTTTCCAGTTTGAACCCACTCAGAGGTGTCTCAGAAGACAGGGCTGGTGATCTGCTTCTGAAAAGGTAGAGCCTTGAAAACCCTTTGGAGCACAGTTTAAGGAGCCCTGCTGGTGCAGTGGCTAAGTGCTCAGCTACTAACAGAAAGATTGACAGTTTGAACTCACCAGCCTGAGAGAAAAATGTGGCAGTCTGCTTCTGTAAAGATTACAGTCTTAGAAATCCTATGAGGCGGTTCTACCTTGTCCTGTAGGGTCACTGTGAGTCAGATTTGATTTACAGCAACATGTTTCTTTTTGGTTAATCGTTATGGAAGCAGATGGCCTGGCCTTTCTCCCACGGAATCACTGGGCAAATTCCAACAGCCAACCATTCAGTTAGCAGCCGAGGGCTTAACTATTGTGCCACCAGGGCTTCTTGGATATAGAAGAACTACTTCTAGTCCCAGCCATTTTAACTCCCTTGGCCTTAGTTTTGTTCTGTTTTTTTTTTTTTTTTTTTTTAAATCATCAAATAGAGAAATCCATCTTTGTCTGAACTTTTCATTGGCATCCCAGAGTTCAAGGAGAAGCTCTTTGGAGGATGGCAAGACATAACACTAACAGGGTAGACCCCAGCAGCACTCAGTAGGAGTTCAGGGTCCAGACATGGGGCCAAACTCTGCATATGCACCCTCTGCATGGTCCTGCTGAAATCCTCCCAGAGCAATGTGCCAGACTCAAATACTCCTGACATGAGTGCTCCAAGGTGTTGAGATGTGGTGAGGAAAGGTGAAGTTTTCTGGGAGCAAATGCAGAAGGTTAAGATTCTCAGACCTAGAGACCTGAAGACCAGTCCAATTGCTGTTGATCTGAGTGAGGGCTCAGTTGATAGCCAACTATGTTAAGTGTGGGGTGGGTGGGAGTGGGGAAATTAAATCCAGCAGCCTTCATACCATCACCCTCAAATCCTGCTCTTGTGCCTATGCAGCTCAGGAGGCAGAAAGGACACCACAGGTCACCCTGATCCAGATGACACGTTTCCTGGAGTCGAGTCTCTCACCTGACCAGCTGCCCCACATGGAAAGAAAGATGTGGCTGGATGGCTCTCCTCCTACCCATGCCAATCTGGTCATCCCAGCGAGGGATCCCAGGCCCTGAGGAATGGAAGGGGAAGTTGCTTGGCCACCATGGTATGGCAGGACAAGACTAGACATCTCCATGACCCCACCCTTTCTTCATCACCTTCTTTCATCTGTATAAAGGGAGCTAATGGGGTTGGGGCTTCATCTGGAGGAAAATAGCCTGGTGGAGGATGGGGGGTAATTAGTAAATTATCCTTTGGCCTAAGAAGATCAGGCATGGCCAAGAGTGACAGTATGACTTAAAGAAGCCTTCAGGAAAGGATTGACTAAACACTGAAAGAGGGCCCCTAGGAAAAGTATAGAATTTCCATTCCTAGAAGTTCTTAAATACAAGAGGCTTCCAATCAGAGCGAATTACTAAGCCTCAAATGTCACACCCAAATCTCGTTGGGCTCCCCCTTTTCTGGATCCAGTCAGGACTCAGTCTACTCCACATCTGTTCATTACACTCCCCTCACCTTTTGTCATTCACTGCTGTTTCAGATATACCAAACTTGCTTTCTCAGATAGACTTTACATTCCCAGAGAATTTTCATCTCAATGTCAAAATAAACTAAACCCCTTACCATGGAGTCAATTCCAAGTCTTGGCAACCCCATGTGTTACAGAGTAGAACTGAGCTTCATAGGGTTTTCTTGGTTGTAATCATTATAGAAGCAGACTGTCAGGTCTTTCTTCCCCAGTGCTTCTGAGTGGCCTCGAACTGCCAACCTTTAGGTTAGTAGTGAAGCACAAAATATTTGTTTTACCCAGGGATCTTCTCCAACTCACTGTTGTTGTTGTTGTTATGTGCTGTCAAATCTGACCCGACTCATAGCGACCCCTCCTTGGGTTTCTGAGGCAGTATCACTACAGAAGTAGATTGTCCCATCTTCCTTCCAAGGGGTGGCTGATGGATTTGAACCGCTAGCCTTCTGGTTAGCAGTCAAGTGCCTTAGGCACTACGCTACCAAATCTCCCCTCCAACTCACTAGGACCCCAGTAAATATTTGCAAGTGATTGGTGAACTGGAGACCATTGATTCAGTGACCCCTGGAGTCCCACGCATGCAGATGCTCTGAATCCCACTAAGGCAAATGGCCAAAAGGAAGAACACTTCTTCCTCAGATCATTGCTCCCTACCTGGTCCACACTCATATGTTATTTGGTGCTGGCAATCACGGTTCCCTTTTTACCCAAAACCTTCAGTAATAGCTGTGGGACAGCAGGTTCCTTGGAAGGGACAGGAGACTTCAGTCACACTAACCTAGACCTTTTGACTCAGTTGAAATTTTCTGGGATTTTCCTAAATTCATGGAGAAGGAGGGTATTTTTCAGTAGGTTTGCACCTTCTTCATAAAGATCCTCTTGTTCAACTGCTTATAAATCTTGAATAGCAAGGACCATAGATGAAGCTGGGACTTTTTTTGGCGGGGGGCGGGGGGGGGGCGGTTGTTGCTGTTAGGTGCTATCAAGTCACAGCAACCCTATACAACAGACAAAAAACCTCTATGTTTGAGCTCATCATTGCAGCCACTGTGTCAAGCTACCTCGTGGAGGGTCTTCCCCTTTTTTGCTCACCCTCTGCCAAGCATGATATCCTTCCAGGGACTGGTCCCAATTAATAACAAGTCCGAAGTACATGAGACAATGCCTCACCATCCTTACTTCTGAGGAGCATTCTGATTGTACTTCTTCCAAGACTGATTTGTTCATTCTTCCATGGTATATTCAATATTCATCACCAACACCATAATTCAAATGCATTGGTTCTTCTTTGGTCTTCCTTATTCATTGTCCAGCATTTGCATGTATATGAGGCAATTGAAAATACTATGGCTTGGGTCAGGCACACCCACATCATCAAAGTACATCTTTGCTTTTTAACACTTTCAAGAGATCATTCATTGCAGCAGATTTGCCCAATGCAATAGATCATTTGTTTTTTTTGTTTTGTTTTGTTTTGTTTTGTTTTTGGTCATTTGATTTCTTGACTACTGCTGCCATGGGTGTTGACTGTGGATCCAAGCAAAATGAAATCCTTAACAAACAACTTCAATGTTTTGTCCATTTATCATGATGTTGTTTATTGGCCCAGTTGTAAGATTTTTGTTTTCTTTCTGTTGAGGTATATTTCATACTGAAAGCTGTAGTCTTTGATTTTCATCAGTATATGTTTCAACTCCTCTTCACTTTCAGCAAGCAAGGTTGTGCCATTTGCATTTACTAGGTTGTTATTGAGTCTTCCATCAATCCTCACGCTGTGTTCTTCTTCATGTAGTCCAGCTTCTCCGATTAGATTAAATAAGTATGTTGAAAGGATACAACTCTGACACACACCTTTCCTGATCTCATACCATGCAGTATCCCCTTGTTCTGTTTGAATGACTGCCTCTTGTTTCATGTACAGTTTCCTCATGAGCACAATGAAGTGTTTTGGAATTCTATCCTTCACAATGTTATCCATAATTTGTTGTGATCCACACAGTCGAATGTCTTTGCATAGTCAGTAAAACACAGGTAAACATCTTTCTGGTATTCTCTGCTTTCAGCCAATATCTATTTGACATCAGTAATACTATCCCTCATTCCACATCCTTTTCTGTTGATGTGCTGCTGCAAACATTTTGGAATTATGTTTAGCAAAACTTTACTTGCATGTGATATTAATGATATTTGTTCAGTGACTTCCACATTCTGTCTATCACCTTTCTTTGGGATGGGCAAAAATGTGGATCTTGTCCAGCTGGTTGGCCAGGTAGCTGTCTTCCTAATTTCTTGGCATAGAAGAACATTGCATCCGTTAGTTGCAACATCTCAATGGATATTCCATCAATTGCTGGAGCCTTGTTTTTTTGCCAATGCCTTTCGTGCAGCTTGGACTTCTTCCTTCACAACAATCAGTTCTTGATCATATGCTACCTCCTGAATTGTTGAACACCAACCAACCCCTTTTGGTACAGTGACTCTGTATTCCTTCCATCTTCTTTAATGCTTCCTATGTCATTCAAAATTTTGCCCACAGAATTCTTCAATATTGTAGCTTGAGGCTAGACTTTTTTTCTTCAGTTCTCAGCTTGAGAAATGCCAAGCTTGTTCTTCCCTTTTGGTTTTCTAACTCCAGGTCTTTGTAGATTTCATTATAATACTTTGTCTTCTTGAGCCTCTCTTTGACATCTTCTGTTTAGCTCTTTTATTTAATCATTTCTTCCATTTGATTTAGCACTTTACATTCAAGAGCAAGTTTCAGAGTATCTTCTGGCATCTATTTTGGTCTTTTCTTCCTTTCCTGTTTTTTTAATGACCTTTTCCTTTTTTCATAGATAATATCCTTGATGTCACACCACAACTCATTTGGCCTTCAGTCATTAGTGTTCAATGCATCAAATCTGTCTTGAAATGGTCTGTAAATTCAGGTAGGATATACTCAAGATCGTACTTTGGCTTTTGTGGATTTAATTTTTTTTAGGTTCGTCTTGAACTTACAGATGAGCAATTGATGGTCTGTTTTGCAGTCAGCCCCTGGCCTCGTTCTGACTGATGAAATTGAGCTTCTCCATTGTCTTTTTACACAGATGTAGTTGATTTGGTTCCTGTGTATCCCACCTGGTGAGGTCTATATATATAGTTATCATTTATATTGTTGAAAAAAGATGTTTGCTATGAATAAGTCATTGGTCTTGCAGAATTCTATCATGCCATCTTAGGAATTATATCTACCACCAAGGACATATTTTCCAAATTTTGTATTCTAATCATCAGTAATTATCAATGCATCTTGATTGCATGTTTGATCAATTTCAGATGGCAGACGTTGGTAAAGATCTTCAATTTCTTCATCCGTGGCATTAGTAGTTGGTGTATAAATTTGATATTCATATTACCTGGTCTTCCTTGTAGGCACATGGGTATTATTCCATCACTGCCAGTGTTGTTCTTCAGGATAGATCTTGAAATGCTCTTTTTGACAATGAATGTGATGTTGTTCCACTTCAATTTATGGTTCTCCACATAATTAGGAGCTCTGGTGGCATAGTGCCTAAGGCATTTGACTTCTAACCAGAAGGCTGGCCGTTCAAACCCACCAGCCACTCCTCAGAAGGAAGATTGGGCCATCAACTTCCGTAGATATACCACCTTGGAAACCCAAGGAGGGGTTGCTATGAATAGGATCTGACTTGACAGCAGTGAGTTTATATGATTGTCTGATTCAAAATGACAAACATCAGTCCATTTCAGCTCACAAATGCCTAGGATATTGATCTTAAAACATTCCATTCCATTTATGACAACTTCCAGTTTTCCTAGATTTATACTTTGTACATTCCATGTTCCAATTACTAATGGATTTTTTTTTTTTTTGGAGGGGGTTTCAAAAAGAAAGCAGAGTAATTTTATGTGGATTCTATTTTATAACCATTTTACTCCATGACTGTTAAAGGGCTTTCCCTCCGTCCTTGTTCCAAACGTCTTTCCAGGAATCACATCTGCTCTTTTATTTTGCCAGATCTGTGGGCAAGCTATCTAAACTCCATGTTTGGACAGAGAAGACTTTGATCAATGGAAGCAGAAGGGAAGGAAATTTCTAACATAGAGTCAAGAATTGTCAGACAGAACTCCCAGAGAACTCAGTGTCCCCTCCTAAGCTGTCAGCAGTGCCAGAAACCCTTTATATACCTCCTCTGAATAGGTGAGGAGCCCTAGTGGCACAGTGCTTAAAGTGCTCACCTGCTAACTAAAAGGTCAGCACTTCAAACTCATCACCCACTCTGTGAGAGGTGGTAGTCTGCTTTGGTAAAGATTTACAGTCTTAGAAACCTTATGAAGAAGTTCTAGTCTGCTTTGTAAGATTGCTATGAGTCAGAATCAACTTAAGCACTGTGGGTTTTTTGGGTCAGATCTGGCGCTGAACCCAGAGGTTGTACTAGGAAAATCAAGGAGATGTAGCTTCATGCTTTGTGAGAGAGCTATGTTTTCTTAAATTAGTAGGGAAGTTGCCTTTATCTCACCAAATAGAATCAGAGAATTTCAGAGCTC